AGCAGATTTGGCCAGAAAGACTTTCTTGCTAAAGTTACTTTGTAACCCAGCTCAAGACTTAGCACGTGGGCGGGACGCTGCTGTTTCCATTGTCAACTTTTACGACAGCCTTATTGCTGCAACTTCTATCAGTGCAGTTAAACTTAAAACTATAGCCTGCATGGCCAAACCTGACAAAATTGACCAGGCTACTGGTTATCAACACCAGTCACACCCACAGTCAACCTCATCTCAACAGCTGCAACAGCCACATCAGTTGTCATTGTCTCAGCATGACAATCAAAACAGTCAGCCACCTACATCAACCCCACCTCAACAGGATCAGACTGATCAGGCCCAGCTGAACCATGCACAGGTTCACACACAACATAAACAGAGGCCCCATAACCCCAGACAACCGCTCATAATCGACAGCAGAGATCTAACAGGCAGACTCTTTGCTGCAAGTATTGTAAAATCAAGGGTCACTCTGCAAATAATTGCCGTAAGATTAAAGAATGTGAATATTGTCATCGTAGAGGATATCAAACATCTGAGTGTCGTATGAAAAGACAAGAGGAAAGACAAGAACGCCTCTTCCAGTACATTGCTGCAGAACAGCGTCAAAGTAATGCTTGAAGCCATACACTCCACACATTTCACATCTTTCCTTGCAAGCCAATGGCTGGCCAACATCAGCCAGTCAGCCACACAACCAACAAACCACTAACCCTCTACAAGGTCCCTGGTACAATGCCTCACAACCACAGAGGAATGGCCCACCTGCGCATCCTCTCCGCTAATGTTAAAGGCTTCCAAATGAACTTGGGAGACCTCACACATAGCCACATAATCCCACTTGTTTATCTTCAAGCCAACCTGGATAATATTCTCCTAGCACATTCCTGGAAAAATATTATAATACTAGGGGATCTGAAGCAACACTTGGTTGAAAGATCATTTGAAGAGCTCCTCACTACATTCGGGCTCACAAATCATGCTCATATCCCAACCCACATATCAGGCTCATCCCTTGACCCTGTGATTACTGATTTGGCTGAATCAGACATCAGTTGTTCCTCCCTGGGCACAGTTGGCTCCTATGATCACTTTGCAATATTAAGCAAGATCTGCCTAAAAGCTGCGCGAGAGGAAACTTTGTCCCGTACATTCTGGCAATGGGAAAAGGCAGACTGGCAAGCCATGTGTAATGCACTATCTGTAGCTCCCTGGGAAGACATTCTCACTGGCACTGTTGACAGACAAGAACTGGCCCTTACCAAATTACTAGCCAGCCTACAAGCAATGTATGTACCTAACAAAGAAATAAAGATATTCATGCTATGGCTTGCAGGAGAATGAAAGCTGTCCAAAAATGGGCAATTAATCGATGGAAGGAGGACCTCCGGTTAACCCAATGACGCCGGGTGTACAAAAGGAAAAAAAAAACTCTACGCTCTAGCAAACAAAGGCAGCGCGCCGACTTTGAGCGCGCGAGTATGGGACGTCAACCCGCAAGCCAGCTTTCGAGCGGTTTGTTTACACGCCTATCGGCGTCACCCGGCACCAAGGGGTTAAAATTCTCTGGTCGTTCAGTGGGAAGTAAAGCCTGGTGGAGCTGCATCAAACAACAAGGATTTTCCCCTGATGACTGCATCCCCCCTCTCAACAAGCCTGATGGATCAGTTGCAACCTCCAGCAGAGAGAAAGCTGAACTTCTGGCTTCACTCAGAAGAGTACATGACCCTGATCGATCTTCTCCTAGTCTGCCTCTCGTGACTCACTCGAAGCTGAGCTCTTTTGTGATCACTGAAGCAGAAGTCCGGCAGCATCTAAATGAGGTTGATGTCCATATGGCCACTGGACCCAATAAAGTCAGTCCTCACACACTTCACAGGTGTGCTAGGCAGCTGGCTGCTCCTCTTGCCTCACTTTTCCAAACATGCTTGAGGTACAGTAAATGGCCAAATATTTGGAAAGCAAACATTGTGGCAGTACACAAAAAGAAGAGCAAATCAGATCCAAATAACTATCATCCAATTTCACTCCTTTCCTCCGTTGGCAAAATATTTGAAAAGATTCTAGCAAATAAACTGACTCTATTTTGATAAAAAACAGTACAAGACAATTTGGCTTCAGGTCACAGAGATCGGCTTCAGACCTACTTCTGCACCTAACTACAATATGGCACCAAGCTCTTGATACTCGATATAGCAGGGCCTTGCATCGAAGCTGAAGAGCTTTGGAATTGACAGCAATCTACTAATGCTACTCGAGGATTACCTCCAAGAAAGAACATTAAGAGTTGTCGTTAATGGTCACACATCCAGTGAATTCCCCATTCAAGCCAGTGTACCTCAAGGCAGTGTAATCGGACCACTTCTGTGGAACATTTACTTTAATGGTATCCTGCAGCTCATCCCTCAGACTTATGCTTACACTGACGACTGCACTCTCAATTTCACCTGCGATACCCAAAACCGCGCAGAGGCAGTTAGACACATAAATGACACACTTGACTATATAATGTTTTGGAGTAAAAAGTGGAAGGTTAACAGATAAAACCCAAGCAATGGTTATATCTAGACGTCAGACACCGGACAACGCCCTTGCATCCATCATACAGCTTAATAACAAACCCATCAGTATTAGCAAGGATATCAACATACTTGGCGTGCAGATTGATAATCACCTAACCTTCACCAGTCACATCAAAGAGCTAGCAAAGAATGCAGCAAGAAAGTTGGCCTGTATATGACGCATCACTCTTCTGCTAGCAAAGGATGTGCAGTCCTTTACAACTTTAAGTCCACTCTTTGATGGAGTATTAGCCGCTTGCCTGGCTGTCCTGCCCGCCAACTCGTCTTTCCCTCCTGGACACCGTTCAGAACAGAGCCCAGCGGCTAGTGGAACAGAAGACACCCGTAAGCATTTTCAGTCCCATCAATAGGAGCGATGTGGCTGGCCTTTGCGTCTTCTACAAGATACATGAACAAAATAGTTCCCTGCTGATGTACGGGACAAGAAATGCCAGTAATTGAGTCCAGAAGTCCAGGTTCCCTTCATGAGAACAGAGCTCTATCTGCGCTCCATCCTGCCTAGATTTTCTAGAATGTGGAACATTTTAGCTCAGCAAACTAACCTGCTTTATCTCGACACATTACAGCTGTTCAAGTCAGCAATGAATGCTTCGAGATTACAATTTGAACCAGGCTAAGTAATTTCCACTTGTAAATTTTTTAGTTAGACCAATCTCTCTTTTATCAGGATTAAGTTTTAAATATCTGTTTTAAGCTATAGATAATTTAATCTTTAATGGAAAATTTTAGCACACATATAAAATTTATAAACTGTACTATACTATACAGACCATGTACCTTTGGAATAAAGTTTATATATATATATATAAAAAAAAAGAGGAGAGGAGAGAGAGAAGGGAGAGAAGAGGAGAGGAGAGAGAGAAGAGGAGAGCGGAGAGAAGAAAGGAGACGGAGAGAAAGAGAGGAGAGAGAAGAGAGAGAAAGAGAGGAGAGAGAAAAGAGAGAAAGAGAGGAGAGGAGAGAGAAAGAGAGGAGAGAGAAAAGAGAGAAAGAGAGGAGAGAGAGGAGAGAGAAAGAGAGGAGAGAGAAAAGAGAGAAAGAGAGGAGAGAGAAAAGAGAGAAAGAGAGGAGAGAGAGGAGAGAGAAAAAGAGGAGAGAGAGGAGAAAGAGGAGAGAGAGGTTGGGAGGGAGAGAAAAGGGAGAGAGAGGTTGGGAGGGAGAGAAAAGGGAGAGAGAGGTTGGGAGGGAGAGAAAAGGGAGAGAGAGGAAAAGAAGAGAGAAATGAGAGATTGTGTTTGTGTGTGTGTGTGTGTGTTAGGTGTGTGTGTATGTGTGTTAGGTGTGTGTGTGTGTGTGTGTCTGTGTTAGGTGTGTGTGTGTCTGTGTTAGGTGTGTGTGTGTCTGTGTTAGGTGTGTGTGTGTCTGTGTTAGGTGTGTGTGTGTGTCTGTGTTAGGTGTGTGTGTGTGTCTGTGTTAGGTGTGTGTGTGTGTCTGTGTTAGGTGCGTGTGTGTGTCTGTGTTAGGTGTGTGTGTGTGTCTGTGTTAGGTGTGTGTGTGTGTCTGTGTTAGGTGTGTGTGTGTGTCTGTGTTAGGTGTGTGTGTGTGTCTGTGTTAGGTGTGTGTGTGTGTCTGTGTTAGGTGTGTGTGTGTGTCTGTGTTAGGTGTGTGTGTGTGTCTGTGTTAGGTGTGTGTGTGTGTCTGTGTTAGGTGTGTGTGTGTCTGTATTAGGTGTGTGTGTGTGTGTCTGTGTTAGGTGTGTGTGTGTGTGTGTTAGGTGTGTGTGTGTGTGTGTGTGTGTGTGTTAGGTGTGTGTGTGTGTGTGTGTGTGTGTTAGTGTGTGTGTGTGTGTGTGTGTGTGTTAAGTGTGTGTGTGTGTTAGGTGTGTGTGTGTGTGTGTGTTAGGTGTGTGTGTGTGTGTGTGTGTGTGTTAGGTGTGTGTGTGTGTGTGTTAGGTGTGTGTGTGTGTGTGTGTGTGTTAGGTGTGTGTGTGTTAGGTGTGTGTGTGTGTTAGGTGTGTGTGTGTGTGTGTGTGTGTGTGTGTGTGTGTGTGTTAGGTGTGTGTGTGTGTGTATGTTAGGTGTGTGTGTGTGTATGTTAGGTGTGTGTGTGTGTATGTTAGGTGTGTGTGTGTATGTGTGTTAGGTGTGTGTGTGTGTGTGTGTTAGGTATGTGTGTGTTAGGTGTGTGTGTGTTAGGTGTGTGTGTGTGTTAGGTGTGTGTGTGTGTTAGGTGTGTGTGTGTGTTAGGTGTGTGTGTGTGTTAGGTGTGTGTGTGTGTTAGGTGTGTGTGTGTGTTAGGTGTGTGTGTGTGTTTAGGTGTGTGTGTGTGTAGGTGTGTGTGTGTGTGTGTTAGGTGTGTGTGTATATGTGTGTAGGTGTGTGTGTAGGTGTGTGTGTGTGTGTAGGTGTATGTGTGTAGGTGTATGTGTGTGTGTAGGTGTGTGTGTGTGTAGGTGTGTGTGTGTGTGTGTGTGTGTGTGTGTAGGTGTGCGTATGTGTGTAAAGGTATGTGTTTGTGGGTGTGTGTGTTTAGGTGTGTGTGTTAGATGTGTGTGTGTGTGTTAGGTGTGTGTGTGTGTGTTAGGTGTGTGTGTGTGTGTGTTAGGTGTGTGTGTGTGTGTGTGTGTGTGTGTGTGTGTTAGGTGTGTGTGTTTGTGTGTGTTAGGTGTGTGTGTTTGTGTGTGTTAGGTGTGTGTGTGTGTGTTAGGTGTGTGTGTGTGTGTGTGTGTTAGGTGTGTGTGTGTGTGTGTATGTTAGGTGTGTGTGTATGTTAGGTGTGTGTGTGTTAGGTGTGTGTGTGTGTTAGGTGTGTGTGTGTGTTAGGTGTGTGTGTGTGTGTTAGGTGTGTGTGTGTGTGTTAGGTGTGTGTGTGTGTGTTAGGTGTGTGTGTGTGTGTTAGGTGTGTGTGTGTGTGTTAGGTGTGTGTGTGTGTGTGTGTGTGTTAGGTGTGTGTGTGTTTGGTGTGTGTGTGTGTGTTTGGTGTGTGTGTGTGTGTTTGGTGTGTGTGTGTGTGTTTGGTGTGTGTGTGTGTGTTTGGTGTGTGTGTGTGTGTGTTAGGTGTGTGTGTGTGTTAGGTGTGTGTGTGTGTGTTAGGTGTGTGTGTGTGTGTGTTAGGTGTGTGTGTGTGTGTTAGGTGTGTGTGAAGGTGTGTGCGTATGTGAAGGTGTGTGTATGTATGTGTGACTGTAGGTGTGTATAGGTGGCTGTATGTGTGTAGGTGTGTATGTGTGTACGTGTGTGTGTACGTGTGTGTGTGTAGGTGTGTATGTGTAGGTGTGTATGTGTAGGTGTGTATGTGTAGGTGTGTATGTGTAGGTGTGTATGTCTTTGGGTGTAGGTGTGTGTCTAGATGTATATATTTAGGTGCATGCAGTTGTGTCTTTTAATTGTGCATGTTGGTACAGGTGTATATGTGTAGGTATACATGTATTTATGTGTAAGTGAGTAGGTGTAGGCATATATGTGTATATGTAGATGTGTGTGTGTGTGTGTGTGTGTGTGTGTAAGTAGAGGTATTTGTGTGTGTGAGGTCTGGGTATAGGTGTATATGTTTGCATGTAGATGTGTGTTTATGTGTGTATGAATGTGTGTAAGTGTACATGTAGTTATGTGTGTAGGTATATATGTGTATGTGTGAGTTTGTGTAGGTGTAAGTAATGTGTGTCTAAATGTATGTGTGTAGGTGTGTGCAGGTATGTGTTTTAGTTTCATGTGTAGGTGTGTTGGTGCAGGTGTGTTTGTGTAGGTGTGTGTGTGTATAGGTGTGTATGTGCATGGTATGTATCTGTGTAGGATTGTGTGTAGGTGTTTGAAGATGTGTTTAGGTGTACATGTTTGTGTAGGTGTGTATCTGCGTGCATGTGTGTGTGTGTGTGTGTGTGTGTGTGTGTGTGTGTGTGTGTGTGTGTGTGTGTGTGTGTGTGTGTGTGTGTGTACGTTTGTGTGTAGGGGTAGGTGCGCATGTAGGTGTAGGCATGTGTGTGTGTGTGTAGGTGGAGGTGAAGGTGTAGGTGTAAGTGTAGATGTGTATGTAGGTGTATTTGTGTGTGTAAGTGTAGGTAGATGTGTGTGTATGTGTAGGTAGGTGTGTTACATATTCATGATCATCTCACCTTGTGCCATCCCTTCAGAGGCCATTTCCGTCGCTTAAGAAGGAAGCCTTCAAATTTCCGAGGAACCAGATCAAATCTCTGACCTTCCTTCAAGCCTTCCAAAATCTCCCATTCTCCTTTCTTGCTTGCTATGAATGTAAGAATTGTAAAGGTTAAGTTTAAAAATGATTTACCTATATCAATTATAAAATACCACTTAAACATTCTTCATGTACAGTTTATATATGATATATTGTCAAATATAATTAAATACAATTTCCTTCGTGCAGTTTTCCGCCAATTCAAGGAAAGGTAAAATCAGCTAGGGTCACAAAGTCTACTAATTGGCTACTTTGCATTAGCAGAGACCTCTATATATAGAGACATTTCACAAAAATATGAAAAAATTAGCAGAACATTTTCCCGGTGGCACTGAGTTAAGAAGGCCACTGAATGAAGCAGACAGTAAAACCTTGTATGTCATTTACATAGCAGTAACAGGTGATGAACAGTCATGCTTCATACTCCTTAACTCAGTGATGAGAGCAAACAGGTTGCTCTACTATGTATAATGTATAATATATAATATATATTATATATTATAAAATATATATATATATATATATATATATATATATATATATATATATATATATATGTACATATACACATATATATATTTAAATATTTATATCTATATATATCTATATGTGTATATATATACATCCATATAAATATATTTATATGCAAATATATATATTTTTATATACATATATATATATATATATATATATATATATATATATATATATATATATATATATATATATTATATATATATATATATTCATATATTTATATTTATATATATATATATATATATATATTTATTTATAAATATATATTTATATACATATATTTATATATATATATATAAAGAAAGTCCCCAACTTACGAACATAATGGGGACCGAGAAGCTGTTCGTAACTCCATTTGTTCGTATATCCAAAGTCGGGTCTCCACTGCATACATATTTATATATATGTATATATATGTATATATATGTATATACGTATATATACGTATATATACATATATATACATATATATATACATATATATACATACATATACATATATATATCAATATACCTATCTATTTATCATATATGTCTGTGTGTATTATATATATAAATATATATTTATATTTGTATATAAATATATATATATATATTTATATGTAGATAGGTATATTAACCCATTCACGCCGGGTGTCCAGTATATGTGATGGGCCCACTGTGAGTTTACTTGTTTAATTGTTTTCACACATATATGGCTGCACTTGTACTTGTACTGCCTGTATCGCCTGTTTACCCTTTTCTTAAATTTACGAAAATATTATACGTTATCTTATTTTGCTGTTACTAATGTTCATAAAATTATAGTAATTATAATGTTTATAATAAAAATAATTATCGATATTCATAGCACTAGTGAAAAATACATTTTCCCGCCAAATGAAATCAGGTAAGGCAGAGCCATCTTGTGTAGAGAAATTTCACAAAAAGTATAAAAAATTAATACAGCTTTTCCCCCCATTTTTTTTCATTTTTACCCAGAGCAAATGGGTTAATATATATATGTATATGCATATATGCATACATAAATATATATATATATATATATATATATATATATATATATATATATATATATTTATATATATATATATTTATATATATATATATATATAAATACTTTCATATGTATATATTTATATTTACATATATATATATTCACATATATATATATATATATATATATATATATATATATATATATATATATACATATACATATATATATATATATATATATATATATATATATATATATATATATATATAAATCAATATACCTAACTACATATATATACATATATTTATATATATAATACACACACATATATGAATAAATATATATATATAGTTATAGATATATATAAATATATAAATATATAAATATATAAATACGTAAATATATAAATACATATGTGTGCGTGTATATATGTATGAATATAGGTATATTTATATATGTATATGTATATGTATATATACTTCTACACTCATACAAAAATAAGTGTGTGTGTGCATGCGTGTGTATATTGATGTATGAATGTGTGCATATATACATAAATACACACATTTATTTGTGTGCACACATGCACACATATTTATGTGTGTGGGTGTGTAATGAAGCCAAATAGCGATGGAGTGAAAACAGGGTGTGTCAGGCAAGATGCGGTAATCTTGGGTAGTGGTGAGGGTGTGACAGACTTCTTGTTCACTTGCAGCAGTTTATTGTAGAGAGTATAAGGTACAACTGTCAGACAGAGGTTCTGTCCAGTCAGCGTGCTGTCTGAATATCGCTCGCAGGCGACCCTCTTTTAAACAGATTGAACTAGGAAATTCACATGGATTGTGATGTACTAGGAAGTGTCGAAGAAAGGATGTGATTGTGAACATGGGGCAACGTCACAAGGCGGAAGAACTGTGGATTTTGCATATGCTGTTGTGTTAAGCAAAGGTTTGGTATGATGAGAGTGTTGCTGTACTAAATATTTATTTATAAGGTAATAGTGTTATATGTATGGCAATAGTAGAGTAAAGGAAAGGGTCTGCTATGAGTGGTCGCAAGGGATTCCTTTAGCTATAAGGGTTATGTGAAACACTCAAGATCCATTACCGGGGCCTCCTAGGGAAGAGACTAGGTGTATGCTGAAATGGGCCTTGTGTGAAAAGGGACTTATAGTGAATGTGTGAATGTGTGTGTGTGTGTGTGTGTGTAAAAAAATATATATATATTAATATATATCAAAATATATAGATATATATTTCTATATATAATATAATAAAACAAACATAAATGTACATAATATATAAATAATATATGTATATATATGAATATGTATGTATAAATAAATAAATATATATATATATATATTTATGTAAAATATATATATATATATATATATATATATATATATATATATATATATATATATACATATACATATACATATATACATATACATATATACATATACATATATATATATATATATATATATATATGTATATATATATATATATCTATATTTTACATAAATATATATATATATATATAAATATATATATACATAAGTATAAATATATATGTCACAACAGCAAGATTGATCAGGACCATTGGCGATGTTTACCTCAGGCCGGGCGGCGGGCTTAGGCCTCTCGTGATTGGCTCGCTCACCGTGTGGGGAACGAGGGTATCGGGCTTTACAATGGCACGGCACATAAAAGGAGCACCAGTCAAAAATTCAGTAGTTGTCCCATGACTTTGACTTGTGTGCTTACTTCTGCCATGTGACCTCGCCTGCTCCGCTGGATCCTCTCCCTTCAGTTTGTATATATTCTGTGTTTGTTTAGTGTAAATAGTGCCCTTAGTAATAAAACCTTGTGTATGTTTCCTTTGATGTGTTTCCGTTGACCTGACCACTCTGATTCCTTATAACAAACCCTGACAATATTTCTGTATAAATATGTATAAATATATGTACAGTAAGTCCCAACTTATGGACATAATTGGGACCGAGAGGCTGTTCGGAAGTCGATTTGACTGTATGTCGAAAGTCGGGTCTCCAATGCCTTTTTCCCCATTGTTTTAAAGTTTTGTTTACATTAAGAATACCTGTACATAAATCCCAATAAGTACGACATACCTTATACAGTACCTATAATATGTAATATTTTTTATATTATTTAATGGTGATTCATACAACTTTAATGTAGAAACATAATTTATTCAAAAGAAAATATATTGTAGTGACTGGCTGGCCAACCTATCCATAAGATTGATAAAGTTATAGCCTGATGTTTCTTGGCACTTCCACTGGCTTCACCGTTTATCTTTCTCTTCACACTCGACATTTTTGATGGATTGATGCACAGGTAAAGCGAATTATGGCAGAAAAATTGTCGGTACACAAGGACACAGTGAAGAGATGCTTTCGTGTTTATGGCGGGAGGGCAGGTGAGTGTGCGCACAGCTGAGTGAGCGAAGCAGTGCCGTGGCGTGGCAGACTCGTGAACTATATTCGCGCCCGGGAATTTCTAAGTTTGCTAGCATCTTTCAAACAATTTTTTTGACTTAAGTATTTAAAAAAAAAGTTTGTATGTACGGAATGTGCGTAAGTAGAATGTTAAGTAGGGGACTATCTGTATATAAATAAGAATATATGTATAGCATATGTATATGTATATATATATATATAAATATATGTATATGTATATATATATAAATGTATGTATATGCATATACATAAAAATATATGTATATATGTATAAACATAAATATTTATATACATACATACCTAAATACATATACCCATATATGTATACATATGTATAAATATACACAAATATATATAATTATATACATTGTACTCATAATTATATGTATATATATACATAATGTATATATATATACATATATATATATATATATATATATGAATTGGCAGGTGGAGACCGTTACCCCGAGTGGATGCCCTTCCTGACCTAAAACCGTGGCCAGGATTCAAACCCATACACTTGCAGACCCTCCAGCCCACAGCCGCGCGCGTTACCATGGCGGCCCCATATATATTCACATACACACACACACACATATATATATATAGCATCCAGGTTTCACTGCTGTATAGTAAAATTGGCAGTATCAGTGCCTTGAATACACATAGCTTGGTCATTCTGCACAGGTAGCAGAATCTCCAAATACTCTTGTCAAGCAATTTCATGACCCCTGCTGCCAGGCCAATCCTTCAACTGACTTCCTGATCTGACAGCCCAGAGTCATGAACTGCACTACTGAGGTATATAAAGCTCTCTTTGACCTCGATGTTCTCACCACAAGCACATATCGACTGAACAGGATCTCCGAGCAGGCCCCAAAGTCCTAGATCTTGGTCTTGATCCAGGAGACCTCTAGCCCCAGGGGCTTTGCTTCATTGCTAAATGCATCAAGAGCTGCTACTAGGGTTTCCAGAGATTCTGAGAGAATAGCAACACCATCAGCAAAGTCAAGGTCTGTAACC